ATGAGATAATTTAGCTGTGAATTTTTGTTTGTCACGTTTTCTTCTCGTTCAATCTCGATACATCGCTTCCTTAAAGCCGCTAAAGCCGACCACGACGAACTGCGCAATCGCCGTGGAATGCATTCGAAAAAGGTTGCAGGAGAAAACGTGTTGCAGGGTTGTAAGATGAAACTAGCAGGTGATCATCGGCGGGAATCGCGGCCGCGGCCGCGGCGGCGACGGCGGATCGTGATTCCGTGCCCACCTGAAAACAATAAACGGCCTGGAGGCTGCTGCTCCTGGGACAAGCAGGAAGAAACTTAGACCGGGGCTCGAGTGAAAGTGCACAATAACAAACCATCCCGGTTTGCGTCTGCGGGGATTTTGCAAGATCGCGTCGTGATCTTTTTCACGGAGGTTCTCTCTAACTTCAAGTCGTAATAATTAGCGGCTGCGACTACTAAGTGATTATACGAATGAACGGGGGACTGAGAATCCATTAGTCTCTCCCGCAGGAAGGAATCGTGAGAAGAATGTACGTTATAATCGGGAAATCTCTTTCTTATCGCAGTTATGTAAACCATCTCTGAAAGAGCGGAAGACCACATATCGGAACATAAATTCTAGCCCGTCATGATTTGCAACGCGCTTCTGGCTCAGCTGGTTGCGAGTACCGAGAACTCTCGTCGGTCTGGTCGACGATTAGTCTGGTGTGATACTGATGAATTCCGGCAGTCCCTCTTCCTTTTACAAATAGTCTCGCTAAAGTCATATTGTTATGTGAGAATTATAAAATTAATCAATCTTAGAACGTTTATTTTCATACTATTAAAAACTGAATTTGTATAATCCTTTTTCAAAGATTAAACATTGTTATACATTTTTAATTAACTATATGCGCGCGCGCGCGCGCGCGCGTATGTGTGTGTGTGTGTGTGTGTGTGTGTGTGTGTGTGTGTGTGTGTGTGTGTGTAATCGGAATAGCCTTGTGAGAAAATTTTGAAGATAATGCCGTCGCTCATGCATGATTTGCATAATTCCATTACGTCTTCTTTTTCAATCAAAATATATAATGTTAAATCTTAATTCTGCCTTGTTCGAGTTATCTCTGGCGAGAAGAAAAGTCGATCCATCAATCGATGATTTTTACAATTAGTGCATACCATAAGAATAGCCCGTGCTGCTATAGTCATTGTTATGTAACAGCGGAATTACACAGTTAGACATCCATTGAATGGCCAGCGCGCATCTGTCTTTATCAAGCGAGGAGCGCAGGCCAGCGATCGGAATCCGGTAGTTTCGTTCACTATTACGCGTAACAATCCGAACATCTTTGATTGATTTCCTTGCCCGGAGCTAATGAGTATCGCGCCCGGTTTAAATCAATGCTGTTGGGAAAACAGAAGATCCGAAATGAGCCTGCGATGCAACGGATCCGGTTGCGTAATTTCGAAGTGCGCGATGTCGGGCTCTCCCGATCCTTTGCTCTTTGTCATCGTGTGCCTCGATATCGTCAAGGCGAGACACACAAGCATCCGTACGATTATATACAGGGTGCCCCGATATATATTACATGCGCCTTATCGAATTACAGATGTCCATATCTAGAGAGACTTGGCAATGGAATATTAAATTTTGTCGCAGCCACCATTTCCCTTTGCGCATTACTTTTTATTTTTTATTTTCTTTTAATCATTAATGTGATAACAATATTTCATGAGAAGCATACATATTTAATTTTATATAATGGTTCGTTTAATATAAAAAAATATGTATGTATCCAAATAATCATTACATCATGATATTAATAAGATTTGAGCGAATCAACGTCACTCGTGACTTATCGATGTGTAACTAAGATCCACGTGGGTCTTTCATGATTATATATATATACAATATATATACAAATTGCCTGGTCCGATTAGAACACGTCTTTTATAACATTTTAAATGCACTTCGTATTCGAAACACCCTATGTATAACAACGTATGGTTCGGTAGTTGATTAGATTTAAAAGAATGCCCCGTCACCTGCACTGTTGAAAGGAGACTAGGCCCCGAGAGCGATGGCGGTGGGGAGAGTCGTGGAGACAAGAAGGAATGGTGGATAAATGAGAGGAGGGGGTGGCAAAGGGAAAGGAGGTGCCGGAGCGATGCCTGATCGTAAGCAACGAGGGGCCCGGGCATGAGGCCCCAGCGATCACTGACCGCTTTCGCCGATCCCAGCCGCCAACTAGCCACCTTTCAGCGGCGCAGCCATTGGGGCATCCTCCTGCTTAAGGTCCATTCACATCGCATCGCTAATCAAACCTGACAAAAAAGAATCGTTCTCCGGTGCTTATGGTCCCCGTAAAGTCATGGAAATTGCCTTTATCGACATGGGACCGGCTACCGCCGAGATTAAAAGAGTAAGATTTATGTAATTGTAGATATCCGAATGCCCAAGCCGTTGGTATTAAAAATGTTAATGTTTAATGTTCGTAGGGACTATCAAGATATTGGACCAAATTCGACTCGCAAAATTAATGTCGTTGATAATGATAATTAGAGATACGCTCATTCTGTAAATTTCCGTACGTAATAAAGTTACTCGTAAGTTAACAGCGATTAGTATAATCCTATCTTATGCAAGATTCATGCTTGCGCGCAAGGCAGTAAGACTCCCTGATACGTCTGTATCGTCCATTGGAGCGGTTACAATAATTGGCGGCGGAGATGTATGTAATATCGACCAAAAATTGCATCTCGACGAAAGCCGGCGAAAATAATCTTCGGGAATGAAGTAACTCTTTCCCGGAAGAACTCGAGATATTTGTGTAATGAGAAAAAATGGCGCGAACTCTCTCGAGATAATCGAAATAGTTAGCAGTTTCGTTTTACGGCACGTGATACATGCATTTAATCCGCAAAACATCGGACACTCGGGGAATAATATTACGAGTGTTTATAGACGGTTAAAATGCAGTCCACCAGTTGGCAATTACCAAGGCGAGAGGGAACTGGCGAAAGAGTGAAATATAATACTGACTCAAGCCTCGCGGCCTTGGTAAAGATCTTGTAATAACGATCAATGAATACGGATAAAACGTACGCTTAATTGCGAAATCGGTAGCTTACTCATATTGTCAGCAATAACAATAGTGAAGATGAGATCTCGCAAGCTATTCGATTAAGGCATTATGCGTATCTCCGTGAAGAGGAATAAATAAAAGTATGTATGTGTGTGTATATATATGCACACCACACACACACACACACACACACACACACACACACACACACACACACACACACACACACACACACACACACACACACACACACACACATATATATATATATATATATATTAAAATTAGGAAAATTAAGAAAAACCAGGATAAATGATATGGTAATTTATAATCTTGGATGATCGATTTCGATATAAATGCTATTTGTGATCGTTTAAAATTCGAAGAAATTCGGAGTCTATTGAATCAGTGATTTAAGCGATAATAATGTTCGAAAGATCTTTTGCCAATAGGGGAACCCTACTTCAAGCAGGTAACAAATCACTTTTCAACGATGGAAGGTCAAACTGCTAAGCACTGTTTTCTAAAAGGCGGAGTCCTTCATAAAAGATCGTTTGATACAATGTTACGCACAATTTCTAACACAATAGACCTAGTCTATAATCGTTGATAAAGTTGTATAAATTTTGTATATAATATTATAAGAAATTAATTTGACCTTTAAAATGACAAATTGGAATCGAAAACTGAAAATGCAAAAACAAATTAATATTGTTTTTCTTGATAATTTCCTTTTTCAGATAATTATAGAATAAAATTTTTTCAGAAATAAAAAGATTTCATTTAAAAAATATAAATAAGAATATTATCTCTGGCAACGAAACACAAGGGTGCGGAAGACATGTAAAAAAATAAAATAAAAATAACTAAATGTATTATATGCAGCCTAATGTATGAAAAATTAATTTTACATGCATAAAATGTAAACTGATGTACACTTTCATCGGAAACGGATGATCACGACGAACGCGATGAAAATCTACAAAAAATATTTGCGGGACAGTTGGAATACAAATGTAAACGGGATTCGCATAAAGGCATCGGGCAAACATCCTTTTTCGAGGTCCCATTCTACGTGACAGAATCGTAGAAATGATGTGAGAACAGATGATGGCGTGGCGAGGTTTCGCGGACGGATCGAACAGCAATACGACAAAAGAATAGAGAGGAAGAGAAGAGGAGAGAAAGAGAAAGATCGACAGGAAAGAAAAAAGGTAGAGAGAAAGACAGGGAAAGGATGACGAAGGGAGCACGAAATGCGGGGAATACACGGTGCACGAAGAAGAGGAAAGAGGAAGAGAGAGAAAGAAAGAGAAAAGGACGCGCGATGGAAAAAACAGAAAGGGGGGGGTCAAGGAAATAAGAACGTAGTGGATGGAGGAGGCTGCAGATGCGGAGGAGCCACTGTAAGGACCCAGAGAGTGTACCTGTCTTGTTTTTATAGGCTTGCCAGAACATCGGGACCTGGGTACGCAGACGAGGACGAGGACGACGACGATGACGGCGACGGCGACGATGGCAACGACGGCGACAACGACGACGACGACGACGACGACGACGACGACGACGATAGCGACGACGGCGACGAGGAGAAGGCAAGAAACAAAGTGGGAGAAGGAATGATGGTCGCGGAGTGGTGAGCGGTGGAAAGTGGCAGCCGGGGGATCGGCGGCAGCGGCGACAGGGGGGGAGAGGGTAACGGAGCTCGCCAGGGCCTTACAATCCTCCGCCAACCAGTCCTGGTAGAACCGTGGGCCCTATCGGAGTCCTGTACGCGCACGCCGTATCAGCAACGGTGACTTTTCGCCGTCCACGAGATTTTTCTCAGCGTCGAAGAGACGATAATCGCGGGGTCGCTGAACCTGTTTCTCTCTCCCTCTCTTCTTTCGCGAACGCGTTTATCTCATCCTGTTAACACGCGCGCGTGCGTTTTATCTGTACAACGTTTTTTTTTTTTTCTTGTACGAGACGAATCACCGAGGATGAGACCGCCAGGATCGTAAGGCGCAAAGAGCAAGGTGCAAAAGGTCGATCGTCGACCGAGGGGGCGAGGAGAGGCAAGGAAAGAGAAAAGAGAGAGAAAGAGAGAGAGAGAAAGAGAAAGAGAGAGAGAGAGTGATATGATTGACGTGATGAGGTGAAATCGTGGCGACTCGGTGGTGGTTTAGATGGATCGATGCCGGTTTCGCGAGACCGCACCAGTGGCGTTAGTTGGTATTAGAGATAGGTACCCCTAGGGGAGGGGGGCACGGGGGGGGACCGCACCACATTGATGGAACAGTGATTAACGCGACGGAAAGATGCGGGGTAGTCCTGCCTTCCTCGCCATACTGTTGGGCACGATATTCGGTGTTCTAGGTGCATCTCTGAGCAAAGCGCTCAGGTATAAGGCACCGGATGAGTGCAAGTGGATCACGACCGGCGATGCCGAGGACGACGTGTCGCTCATGTGCCGTCTGCGTACCATCAACAGCGAGCTGGAGAACACGAATTTCAGCGTGATACAGCCGCAGCACACCGTGCGCCTGCGGCTGGAATGCAGCGACGCGCTATTTTACCAGAGTTCGCTGAGCGCCGGGAGCTTCAGGCCGCTCGTCGAGTTGCGAGAACTCGTGATCGAATATTGTAAAATCGGCAATCTGTCGGATGACGCGTTCAAGGGTCTTAAGGAGCTGCGTAATCTCACCGTGAGAACGCATAACACCGACTGGTCCGCCATGGCGCTCGACGTATCCGCTGGAGCGTTCACCGACGAGCTTCGGCAACTGGAGAAGCTCGATCTCGGTGAGAACAATATGTGGGGTATACCGGAGGGCGCGCTCTGTCCTCTGGTTAACCTGGAGGTCCTAAACTTGACGAGAAATCGGCTCAGGGATATCACGAGTTTCCGCTTCAATTCCGCGGCGAGATGTCTGACGAATCTCCGAGAGCTGGATCTCAGTAACAACAGCGTTGAATCCCTGCCAAGCGCGGCATTCTCCGGTCTGACGAGGTTGCACAGCCTGGACTTGCGGTGCAACGCCATCAGCTTCATGGCGGACCGCGCGTTCGAAGGTCTCACGTCACTGGCCATCTTGAAACTCGCTGATAACCGGCTCGCGAGCTTGCCGCCGGAGCTCTTCAACGATGCCAGGGACATACAGGAGATTCACCTCAGAAACAACACGTTGAACGTCTTGCCACCCGGCTTGTTCGGCGAGTTGTCGCAATTGCTGGTGCTGGACCTCTCGCACAATGAATTAACGGCGGAATGGGTGAACGCGGCTACGTTTAGTCGTCTGGTGCGTTTGGTAGTGTTGGATCTCTCAAATAATCGTATCGCGCGACTCGATCCGACCGTCTTTCGCGATTTGTACAGTCTGCAGATACTACGGCTACAGGAGAATCTATTGGAGAGCCTGCCGGAGAACACGTTCTCGGAACTTTACAACCTGCACACGTTGCTGCTCAGCGATAATCAATTGACAGTCATAGATGCCACCACATTGAGCGGCCTTTACGTGCTCAGCCTCCTCTCTCTGGACAACAACCGGTTGCACACAATACATCCAAGTTCCCTGAGAAATGCTTCGTCTCTGCAGGACTTTCATCTTAACGGTAATCGGCTGACATCGGTGCCGGACGCATTGAAAGCCACTCCCCTCCTGCGCACCCTCGACCTCGGCGAGAACCTCATCTCCGAGATACCAAGCGGCACCTTCGACCACGTGGTGCAGCTGTATGGACTTCGATTAACCGAAAATCATATCGGCAATCTCACGAAAGGCGTCTTCGATCGTATCAAGGAACTCAAGATCCTGAACCTTTCGCGAAATCGCATACAGTACATCGAACCCGGTACCTTCGACGAGAATCTGAATCTACAAGCGATACGCCTCGACGGTAATCAGCTGATCGACATCGCCGATCTCTTTACTAAATTACCTAATCTCGTCTGGCTCAACGTGAGCGACAATAAGCTCAAGCTGTTCGATTACGCCATGATCCCAACGGGACTGCAATGGCTGGACATACACTCGAACGAGATCCGGGAGTTAGGCAACCGTTTCGAAATCGAGACGCAGTTGCAGCTGAGCACCTTCGACGCGAGCGAAAACAAACTAACGGAGATCACCGGCAACGCGATCCCCAAGAGCGTCGAACTGTTGTTTCTCAACGATAACCTTATCTCAAAAGTTCAGAGTTACTCGTTTTTCAAGAAGCCGAATCTGACACGAGTCGACTTGAAGGGTAACCAAATACGGAATCTCGAGCCTTACGCGTTGCGTATCACCGCGGTACCGTCGGATCGACCGCTGCCGGAGTTCTACATCGGCGACAATCAGTATCTGTGCGACTGCACCATGGAGTGGTTACAACGCGTCAATCGGCAGAATCAGACGCGCGTACAGCCACGCGTCATGGATCTCGAGAGCATCTACTGCAAACTCCTATACGATCGCGAGCACGCCTTCGTGCCGCTGGTCGAGGCGTCGCACTCACAGTTTCTCTGCAAGTACGAAACCCACTGCTTCGCCCTGTGCCACTGTTGCGACTTCGACGCGTGCGACTGCGAGATGACGTGTCCGAAGAACTGCACGTGCTATCACGACCAGTCGTGGTCGGCAAACGTGGTGGATTGCTCGAACGGCGGCCACGTCAACAAGCTGCCGGAACAGATACCGATGGACGCCACGCGCCTCTATCTGGACGGGAACGATCTGCGCGTCGTGTCGAGTCACGCTTTTATCGGCCGCAAGAAGCTCAAGGTGCTGTTCCTCAATTCGTCCAACATCGAGATCGTGCAGAACAGGTCGTTCAACGGGCTGCGCGACCTCGAGGATCTGCACCTGCAGGACAACAGGATACGCGAGCTGCGCGGTCACGAGTTCGAGGGACTGGACGCGCTGCGGCAGCTGCATCTGCAACGCAACCGCATCACCGCGATCGGCAACGACACGTTCGCGCCGTTGCGCTCCCTGCGGATGCTACGGCTGCAAAACAATCGTCTGACCACCCTGGCGATATGGTCGTTGCCGAGCTCGATCGAGGTCAGCCTAGCCGGGAATCCCTGGTCCTGCGAGTGCGACTATCTGCAGAGTTATCGCGAGTGGTCGCGTAGTCCGAATATTCGCGTCACCGACGCGGCCGCGTTGCGCTGCGTGTACAACGTCACGGAATTCGAGTCGTTCGGCGACGAAGTGTTCGCGGATGACGAGTTTGGTTTCCCGGTGAGCACGGGTACGCCAGGTGATCGCGAGCGCGCCGGCAATGAGAGTGTCGTTTGCACCGGTACGATCAGCATCGACAACGACATTCGTCACAACTACACTAAGACCATTATCGAGAAGCAGGTTCTACAGGATTACCTGCCGTTGCTCGTGGCCACTTCCGCTACTTCGCTCGTCGTTATACTTTTGTGCATGCTCGCCTTCGTGTTTCGTCACGAGCTGCGCGTGTGGTTTCACTCGCGTTTCGGCGTGCGAATATTCTATCGGAATCACGAGGTCGACCGGGACGATCGAGACAAGTTGTTCGACGCCTTTGTGAGTTACAGCTCGAAGGACGAGGCATTCGTCGCCGAGGAACTGGCACCGGTGCTCGAGATGGGCAATCCCTCGTACAAACTATGTCTTCACTATCGGGATTTTCCGGTCGGCAGCTTCATAGCCGACACCATTGTCCAAGCGGTGGAGTCGTCGCGCAGAACGATAATGGTGCTATCGGAGAACTTCATTAAGTCCGAATGGTGTCGTTTCGACTTCAAGTCGGCGCACCACCAGGTGCTGAGAGACAGAAGACGCCGACTGATCCTCGTGTTGGTCGGCGACGTGCACCAGCGCGATCTCGATCCGGACATACGGCTGTACTTAAAGACGAACACGTATCTGCAGTGGGGCGACAAGCTCTTCTGGGAGAAGCTGCGATTCGCGTTACCGGACGTGCCGAACAATCAGCGCGCGACGCAGAGGACGAGGCAGCCACCGCCGGTCCGACGGCAGCACAACAACAGGACGTCCAACGGATCGCGCACCGTATCCGTCCACATATAAATCAAATCCGAGCGCATCCGAGTGCCGTTTATCGAACGAGAGTGCAACAGGATCCGTGCGAGGATGCAACGGGAGAAGAAACGCGAGTTTTACGTCGAGGATCTTGTGTGCGCGACTCCACGGCGGCTCCACATTTTCGACGAACGACGTGTGCAATACGACGGTATACTACCTAGAGTGTGTAAATACAAACGGAGGAGAGTTTTGTATGTATAAATAGAGCGTGCCGAGGCGCGGCGAGAGGAGGCCACGTGTACATAGACGGTGTGTGATAAGAGAGTGAGAAGATATTTAAAACGCGCTTTCCACGCGCGGAAACGCGTATATATATATATATATATATATATATATATATATATATATATACGTGT